TACCGGCGTTCGCAGACTCTGCAGTCCCCTTCCCTCTATTTTAGTTCCTGTTTTCTTTCATTCCGAAAAACATATGTATTTTTCTTTAAACCAGTATTTTTAGAAATTCTTAAAGGTTTGTGGATTGTGGCACCAGATTATTGGGGTAGTCGTGTTTTAGAGTTTTGAGCTGTGATAAAAATTTCTGCACTTATATTTGTTTAGCTTTAATTATTAATATGTTAGAACCGTAATTGTTGGCTTGCCTAGCATTCAAGAGTTAGGCGCCATCACGACCCCAACGATGGGAAATTCGGGTCGTGACATATATATATATATATATATATATGCAATTATGGATGGAACTCCTCTCCATTTCTCATTTTCTTTATTTTTCCAAGTAATACTGGTAAGCCTAGGAGGAATACACTATTATCTATCAACTGACAACCCTAATCCTTGATCTCTACGTCTTTCTATCGTGGGTCATATCCTCGGTAAGAAGGAGAAATGACATGTCATGCCTAACTACCTCTCCCCAATACTTCTTAGGCCTACCCTTCCCTTCGTCAATCCCGCAATAGATAACCTCTCACACCTGTTGACTGGAGCATCTATGTCTCTCCTCTTCACATGCCCGAACCATCTCAGCCTCGATTCCCTCAACTTGTCCTCCGTAGATGCCACTTCTACCTTGTCCTTAATAACTTCATTATTGATCCTGTCCTTCCTTGTATGACCATACATCCATCTCAATATCCTTATATTAGCTATATTCATCTTTTGGACATGGGACTTCTTGATGGGCCAGCACTCAGCTGCATACAGCATAGCCGGTCTAACCACCATTCTGTATAACTTGCCCTTATGTCCAGGTGGCATACTCTTATCACACAAAACCCCTGAGGCGAGCCTCCGCCTCATTCACCCCGCTCCAATACAATAGGTAACATCCTCGTCAGTCTCCATGTTGCCTTAAATAATCGACCCAAGATACTTGAAACTATCTATTTTGGGGACGACTTGAGTACCAATCTTCACTTCCACTCCTTATTCATGCATCCCATCATTGAATGTGCACTCCAAGTACTCAGTTTTTGACCTGCTAAACTTAAAACCCTTCGACGCTAGCGTCTGTCTCCAAACTTACAACCTAGCGTTAACTCTATCATGCATCTCATCAATTAGGACTATTTCATTAGTGATTAGCATACACCATGGCACATCCCCTTGTATATGTCACGTTGTCACCTCTAATGCTACAGCAAACAAAAACAGTCTAAGAGCCGATTCCTGATGCAAGCCTATCTCCACTGGAATATGATCCGAGTCTCCTCCTGTAGTCCTTGCCCGAGTCTTTGCTCCCTCGTGCATGTCCTTAATCACCGTAATGTACGCCACATGGATATCGCTAGCCTCCATACATCTCGATATGACTTCTTTCGGTACTTTATCATAGGCCTTCTCCAGGTCTATGAATACCATATGCAAATTTTTCTTCCTTTTCCTATGCTGCTCCACCAATCTCCTCACAAGGTGAATGACTTCTGTAGTAGATCTTCCCGACATAAATCCGAACTAGATCTTGAAAATAGTAACATTATGTCACACCCTCCTCTCCACCATCCTCTCCCAAATTTTCATAGTATGACTCAGCATCTTGATACCACTATAGTTATAGCAGTCATGAATATCAACTTTGTTCTTGTACAACGGGATCATCAAACTCCACTGCCACTCCTCGGGCATCTTTTTCCCCCTGAAAATGACATTAAATAACCCAGTAAGCCATACCAGGCCTGCCCGCCACACTTCCTTTCGAAATTCTACTAGAATCTCATCAAGTCTAGTTGCTTTACCCCTGCTCATCTTCCACATTGCCCCCTCAACCTCATCGTTCCTAATACGCATGTAAAACCCAAAATCCCTCTTACTCCCCGAGTTTTCCAACTCTCCTAGCACGATGTTCCTATCCCATTCCTCGTTCAGGAGTCTATGAAAGTGCTCCTTCCATCTACATTTAATACACGCCTCTTCCATTATAACCCTAATATCTTCTTCTTTGAGGCAGCACACTTGATCCAAGTCCCTAGCCTTCTTCTCTCTAATCTTAGCTAACCTGCACAGCTTCCTGTCGCCTCCTTTGCCCCCAAGATCCTCATATAGTCACTCAAAAGCTGCAGTCTTAGCTACCGTGACTGCCAATTTTTCCTCTTTCCTTTCCATCTTATAACGCTCCCTACGCGTCCTCTACTCCTCATCACTCGTGCTCCCTACTTGCTTCAGATATGCCGCTTTCTTAGCTTTTACTTTTACTTGGACCTTCTTATTCCACTACAAGTCCCCTTTGTGGCCTCCCGAATAACCCTTCGATACCCCTAATAGGTCTCTATGTCATGCCTCAAACTCGAGGAGTGCAACCGGTGCTCAACCGAGTGAACCCGGTTAAGCAAGCTTGTTGAACACTTTCTACCCAAACTCACCCATGATTTAAAGAAAATATATAACATTGTTAATTAACCAATAAGGAGATCATGTATACAATACCAAATTCATTACCATTAGTTACTTCCTTTAATAAGTCTCAAAATACACACACACACTTTCATGGTTCGCAGTGGAACAAGTGATTCAATCACAACACAACTTGTTTGACATTCCCAGCACCCATATAGAACCCACACTATGTCTATGGAGCCTTTAAAACATACAAAAGAGTATTATGATAGTGCCAGCAACAAGGCTCCGGCTATACCTCAAAACGTGATAATATAATGAACAAAAGATACATGACCCCGAAATGAAGTGAGGCTCACCAAGTCTGCTGGGAGGAGGGTGTACCACTATCGCTGATCAACACAATTTGCTATAGAACCACCTGTATCCATTAAATATGCAACACCACCGACAAAAGGGATACTAGTACCATCGAATAGTACTAGAATATATGACTAAATACCCTTTCAAAAGAAGGAACAGTAATGCAAGTACGGACAATCATAATATCACTTAAAGCCTCAAACAATTTCCAAATATCAACTTAGGGATATAAAAAGTTTTCAATTAAATTTCCATGTTTTAAGTTGGGAAATCTTTAGTACCGATATATCACTATTCACCATTTCGATTATAATTTCCAACATGGTCACCACCGCATGTGCGGCATGGCATCCGATTATGATCCGATCGTATAGGCCATCTCATGTGAGACATTAACCACAATCACAATTTCAATTACCATTTCCAATATATTCACTACCATGTGTGTGGCATGGTGCCCCGATCACGACTCGATCGGCTAGGCCGTCTCTTGTGAGACATCATCCTTTTCTATGAATCATTCCATTTCATACTTCTTATACATCTCTTCATTTTATTGGCACCAGTGGTCACAGTTGTATTATTTCTCTTGGCACGTTGGTCATGTTTTATATTTCACATTTCATATTTCATATTTCATATTTCGTATTTCGTGCTTCATATTTCATGCACACCTTTTCACTTTCAATCATCATCATGGACTTTCCAACAACAAAGCATTTCTATTCAAGACATTTAAGCACACACATGAGCAAATAAGAGTCTTAGGCGCATTAAGATTTCTTACACAATGGCCATTAGCTTTCAATTGAAACACAATTTGAAGTCATGACATTTAGATATGCAACACATATTTTGGACACATCCTCAAATAGCAATACAACATAATAAGAGCATTTGAATACATGTTGAACACATACGTCCTTTGACACAAAGCTTATCCGGAATAATAAATTCATAACAAGCAACTTGAGACTTACAAGGACATTGTGGGGTTCAATTCTAAGAGAAGAGTTTAGCCAACATACCTTACTTGAGCTTCCTTAAACTCTAAAATGTCCCAAAAATCTTAGCAGCTTCAATCTATTCTAGAAATATAACAAATTCAACCAAAAAATAGGAAGATGATTATGGTTCCAGCTCATTTGAGCATTTTATCGAACAATAAGTGTGCATTAAGGTTTCAAGGTCCTTTTATGGAGGATTCCATCATTCTACAATCCATTCTCTACCATTTTTATCTCAACAATCTTCCTACACCCCTTGATAACATATACATGCAAAATAAACAACTCCCATACCCCAAGAATTATCTTACTAATTACCCATTTCTAGCTAAATTTTAAAATTAAGGCCTGGGGTGTAGAATCTTACCAATTGGTTGAAGACCTTGTGAGTTACTCTAGAGAAATCTATAAGGTTGGGGCAAAGATTGATGACAGTGGTTTAGAATTCCTCTTCTCACTCTAGACCACCTTCCTCTCTCTAAAAAATGTGAGGTTTATCCTTCTAAAATGACCCCTAATAGTATTTTATGAGGAGGGGGTCGGGTTATAAAAACCCAAAAATGAAGCTCAGGAACGGAATCTGCGATTGCATATGCGATCGCATAATGCTTCTGTGGTCCACAAAATGGGTCGCAAAAATGGCCTATAAAACTGAGCACCACTGGCTGGGTGTACAGCTATTCTGCGGTCTACATATCGATTCTGCGATCGCTAAATCTCCTCCTGGAATTCCTCACGTCGATTTTGTGATACAAATTGTGGCCCCTGCAAAGTAATTCTGTTGCCGCATAATGGTTCAAAATTTTTGCTCAAGTTTTTTCTTTACTCTGCTGCCATTCTGCGGCCACGTAGTGGGCCGAAAAAATATCTTTTTCTGCCAACATTTTTTTTAACTCCCTAGTGCACTGTTCAACCCAAAACGTTTGTACCACGGCGAGGAAGATTCTCTACAATCACCAAACACATTAGCCTATCTCGGTGCCATGAAACCTCGGGTTTTAGGTGAAATTTTATGGGGCCTTACACTCTAACAGCTTCCCTAATGCAGTTCGCTATCGTGGACACATACTACTCGCGTCCCCATTACTTGTCTAGGCCCTCATGGCCAACAACGTTTCCTCCAACTCCTTCGCCTTTCCTTAGTCAAGGCTCCCCACTTAATCATCGGCTGGCCGTACACCGCTCTCTTCTTCCTTACTCTCTTGCCAAGTCCATTACCAGGAGTCTACGTTGCATCGACAGACACTCACTCGGGATAATCTTGCAATCAGTACAAAGGCCCTTATCACTCCTTTGAAGGAGAAGGTAATCAGTCTGAGTCCTGACAATCTTACTCCAGAAAGTGACCAATTGTTCCTCCCTCTTTTGGAAACATGAATTAGTTAACACCAGGTCAAGCGCTTTAGCAAAATCCAACAAAGTGGTACCGCCCTCATTCCTAACTCCGAAACCGAACCCGCCATGCAACTCATCATAACCCCTAGTAGTCACCTCAATATGGCCACTAAAATCACCTCCAATGATGAGCTTCTCATAGTGTAGAATGTCACACATAACCTCATCCAAATCATCCTAGAAACACCTTTTGACCTCCTCGCCCAGGCCCACCTGAGGTGCGTAAGCACTAATCACGTTAAAAGTGACCCCACCAACCACTAGCCCAATAGTCATTAGCCTATCATTCACCCTCCTAACATCCACCACCATCCCCCTAAGATCCCTATCAACTAAAATACCTACCCCTTTCTTGCTCGCTCCTCCTTCTGAGTATCATAGCTTAAACCCGTTAACATCTCGTGCCCTCGTACCCTTCCATCTAGTCTCCTGAACATATGATATATTAATCTTCCTTTTATAAAGAATCTTCCCTAACTCTATAGACTTACATGTCAGTGTCCCTATGTTACACGACCCCACTCTCAGCCTATTAGATCCCTTTCCACCCTTGTTCTCCGCCTCCTTGGCCCATCCGAGGACATGACCCTACTCCACCATCATTCCGACTAGCCACCCTACCAATACAGAAACTAAGGACTATAATTTAAGATTAAAACTACTACAAATGCAGACAAGTTGAAAAGCTTCAATGTAGACTGAAAAATTTTCTTAATCACACAAGAGATACAGTGACTCATCTAATGGCAAAGAAAGATAAACACACAACAAAGGCAGGCAACTAATGCAATACTCAAGGGTAAAAGGCAGGTAACAAATCTATGAACACACAACATACAAATACAACGCAAGAATGATAGAACCTGGAATGTCTACGGATGCCAAAATGGTATTGATCAACAACATCTACAGTCCAAAAATACCTATATGCCACCCGCCTCTAGCTGCTCGAGTATGGGCCTCACTTTCCTCTCAAGGCTCGTCGAAAAATTGCCCCTATGCAGAATTCTCTACAGCCGCTACTACGCCAAAAAATTCGACAAGCAACACACCAGAAAAAAATAGAAGACGACCAAGAAGGCCTAGCCACCCAAAAAGAACGTCGATGCCCGTCAATCAAGAAAAAACTAAAAACAAAAAACAAAAAATACAAAAGCTGGAGAAAAGAAGAAGAGGTAGAGGAGAAAAGGGATAGTGGAGGAGGAAAAAAGAGGAGGCAGAAATAGGGGGAGATAAAGAGAATGGGAGGGGGTGGCATATTCGAGGATCTGGGATGAGGAAAGATGAAAGAAGAGGAAAGGAAGGAGGAGGGAGAAGAAAAGAAGGGGAAACATTAGAGAAGGGAGGAGGGGACTTACCTGACTCCGGTGGAGATCGCCAGAATTACGCCGATGTTAACAGAGGTTAGAGAGAGAGGTGTTAGAGAGGTCAGAAAAATTCGTACAAAAAGAAAATTTGTCATATATGCGTATTAATTAAGTACCTTTTCTTTTTATTTCTTTTTTGTTTGGTTTATTCTTTAAAAATTTCACATACTCAAATTCCTATTCTTCTTTATTCACTGCAATATGATTAACCAAAAAGTGTATATTAAAACTAGTAGCAATGTATAATGTAGCATATATTCAATGAGTTCAATTTATCCCAATATTTTCAACATGAAAAATAAATATAGATGTAAGAAAATTACTATTTTTTTATAAAAAAAATTAGTTTTAAACTTATAATTCCAAAAATGTAATGAGTGCGCAATAGTAAAACTAATGGTTGAACTCGTAAAATTTTTGTATCCTAGATCCATTTTTTCTTAATAGTGCACCCATCCTACCAAAATTCTGGATCCACCATTGGAACAATTCTTAGTTTAAGTGTCAAATGATAAATAAGTCTATTACTCAAATGGTCACTCAATTATCCGAAATTATCTACTAAAATTATTTTTCTTTCGTTTTTAACAGCAAAATCACTTAATTATACTTATAACACTCAGAATGTCACTCAACAAGATTTCTCAAACTTTTGATTGCCAAATACTTATTTTACCTTTTAAATTATCAAATTTTATCTTCTTTTTATTTTTATTTTAACTTTTTAATGTTATGGTTTTTTAATTTTTAATTTATACTAGTATGAACTTACCTATAGAATAAATAAAATTTATTTATAAATTAAAAAATAAAAATAATATTTAATCATATATAATATTATAAAATAAAATATCGAGCATAGCAAAAAAATAATTAAAAAAATTTGTTCGTAATAATAATTTTGATATTAACAACAAAAACTCAAAAATTTATTTACATAATTGAGAATGAGAGAAAATAAAAGTTTCAAATATATATTCCATGTAAATAATATAAGAAATTATTATTTAAAATAAAAATATCTTTAGAATATATATTATATGTTCTTATGTATTATGTTCAATCATATTATTATTCCGATATTATATATACTAGAAAATCAGTGTTTTTATTTTATAAATAAAATGATTTGTCTTATAGGTAAGTCAATGCTGTAGATTAAAAAGAGAAGAAAATTATAATATTAAAAAAAATAATAGAAAGAAGACAAAGGTTGATAATTTAAAAAGTAAAATAGATATTTGAGAAACCAAAGTTTGAGAAATCTCATTGATTGACCTTATGAATGCTATACACATAGTTAATTGATTTTTGTGTTACAAACGAAAATAACTTTAGTAGATAATTTCGGATATTTAGGTGACCATTTAAGTAATAATAAACTCAATAAAAAAAGTGAAGCCAACCGCAAGGCCGCTTATGTATTTAGCATTTAGGAAATGTAAAGATGAGATTTAAATGCGAAGCTCGCATGTTACATGTCGTTTTCTTTCACTCCCCACCCCAAACCCCCACATCTCTGCCTTCATGCATATGATTTAATTGAGTTCTCCCTATTAATTGCCTATTGCCGTTTTAAAGAAATTACTTTTAACGAATCCAATATCTAAATATATAGAAATAATATTTATTTCTATATGTTAATTCTTGGTGGAGGAATACTTGTCACATACTTTCCACTCTCTACACTTGGTAAAGAAACAGAGAGAAACCACAATCTCGGAACACTTTCAAAATAAACACGCACAAAACGCACACACTAATAGAGAAAAAAATAGAGAAATCAACTGGTTTCTTTAGTCATGGAGAAACACAAGTGTAAGGTCTGCTTGAAGAATTTCACTAATGGTAGATTTTTGGGTGGCCATATGACTAGATCTCACATGATGAATCTATACATTCAACAAAAAACAGAACAAAAACATCAAATCAGTGAAGAAACAGATCCAATTTTATTGTGTTCATCATCCTCAGAAGGTGAAGAGACTGAAGAAAAAGAGATGTTAAAGAAGAGCCTTAGAATTGTGGATCTTCAAGATAGAGAGAGTGAAACCGAGTCATCACAAAATCCAACACAATATAGACGATCCAAGCAGATTAAGAAATCAAGAATCTCATATACACATTACATGTCAAATTATGATTATAGGCACGTACCATATGCGGAAAGTTCTGCGTACGTCAGTGCTCGTGTCTCTTCCTCTGAGCCAGTGAGTACAATCTGGGACACATCGCCGGAGGAAGATGTTGCATATTGCTTGATGATGCTATCTAGAGATAAATGGAGGAAAAAAGAAATTGAAATTGTTGATTATTACGAAGATGATGAACAAGAAGAAGAGAAGGATCAAAAGCAATATAAAGTGACTAAGTAGCGGTAAGTACAAATGTGAAACATGCAGCAAACTTTTTAGATCTTATCAAGCACTTGGGGGTCACGTAGCAAGTCACAAGAAGATTAAAGTTTCAACTAATTATAAAACATGAGAAACCGTGGAAACAAAATATAAAGAAGTAAAAATACATGAATGTCCTGTTTGTTACAGAGTATTTTCATCAGGCCAAGCTCTTGGTGGACACAAGAGATCACATGGTATTACTTCAACAAAAATAAAATTATCAAGAATTGATAGGACTATGATAGATCTCAATGTTCCTGCTTCACTAGAGGATGATTAGATTATTACTCAGATTGAGTTTTCTACAGTTTCTGATGCTAAATTTGTCCACCCCATCAAGCCACTGAAAGTGAAATTATTGTAATGTTAAAGGAACTCATGAATTAGAGGTAAAGTTTTGTTCATTTTTTCCTTTTTAAGATTTTTGGTGTGGATCTAAGGAAATTGATCAGTGCATTTTCATGAAAAAATTTGGCACTTTCCATGGCTTTTACCCTATTAAATAGTTCCACTGTAATTTATTTTTCCAATTCTGTTCTATTTATGTAACAGCTAATTTTACAACATCTATTAATAGGGAAGGCTACATAAATTCACTTCACTTTTGTAAATTAATAAATATTCATATTCACGATGTTTTATTAGATCACATATAACACGTTATTCTATACAAGATAGCGCATAAATAGTAATGAATCACGGCTGAAATTAATGGTCAGTAATAGTTATCAACGTATATTGAAACAACCCCTAAGTCACAGTCTAAAGTCTAATTAAATTTGACGGAGAAAATTAAATTTGAGAAAGAAGAGAGAGTGAAAAGTCTGAGAGCAGAAAATTCTATCTCTCGTATACCCCAGCGGGCTCTTAGACCGTACCTTATGGCTGGAATCAGAGATTTGCACAAATAGGATAAGGAGAGTTTTGAAAAAATAGTCTCGCTGCTAGAATTTTAAAGTACGTTGTTAGAATTTTGAAGTATGGTGCCAAAGTTTTGAAGCATACTGCCAGAATTGTAAAGCGCTCTGTCAAAATTTTATGGCACGTTGCTAAAATTTTGAATTATGCTGAAAGAATTTGAAGCACGCTATCAGATTTTGAAGTATCACTACTAAAAAAATCAGGTTTTAGCGATGGACAAAATCTGTTGCTAAAGAGAAAAATTCGTTGCTAATCTCATTTAGCGACGGATTAGCAATGTATTATCAAAAGATTCTGCTAGCTACGAGTATTTTACCGATATATTAGCGACAACGTTCATAGCTAATTCAATTTTTTTTTGTAGTGTATGCTGCCAGAATTTTAAAGCATACTACTAGAATTTTAAAGCATAGTACTAGATTTTAAAGTGTGCTGCCAGAATTTGAAGTATACTGCTAGAATTTTGAAGCACACTTCCAGAAGTTTGAAGCACGCTGCCAGAACTTAAAATACTTGTAACATGCTTCAAAATTCTAGCAGTAAACATTAAAAATCTGGCATGGGGCAATTTTTCTAACAAAAACTTTAACGGGATAAAAAATAAATGGAAAATTTTAAAAGGTCCATCCGATGTAATTTCACTAGTGTATCTAATTCGTGAAAATAGCACAGGCTAACTAATTTTTGGACTGGTAATTAAAAAATAGCAAATATTTGTAAAGTCATTGCAAAATAGCCATTATTTTGCTGAAATCCGGAAAGTTCCGGCACAATATGCGGGATGATGGAGCTCCTGCGATAAACTTCCAGCATATTGACGAGCGCAAAACACAACAAGAAATTGATGCTCACTAATCAAATATAGTATAGTATAATATCATCTTCATAGGGATTGGATTTAAATAATGTTCGAATAATTTCTGATTTAATTGCTATTCAGGAGGATCACTACTTGAGTTAAATGATTATGAACTATGTTTAACTACTAAAATAAAGTAATTGACAATTGACTACAAAAAACTAGGGATTAGCAGAGTGGTTTCTTATAAATGTGAGGAATAAGAGTTTAACAGGATAGGTTCAAGATAGCTATTTGGGATTTAACTCTAGTATAATTCACTCAAATGTTCTAATGATTCGCACGAATTCACTCAATGATTAGATCAAACGTGTAGTCAAGACTCCTCTCTCGATTAAACCTTACTCTACGAGGTGAACTAATATAAGCACTGTGAAAGTATGCAAGTATGCGTTAATGGATTAGTATTTAGGAAAACGTCTCTCGAATATTCTCCTAACTTGATTTAATCGACAATTCAACAAGCTCTTTTAATTACTTAAAAGAATCAATGAATTAAATCAAACAAAATAATGCACAGATAATCACCAAAATATTCCTCTTTCGATTAAATAGACCGGTGAATAAAGTTTCAACTATTCAAAATTTCATAAATGATTTCAAGCAAGAACGAGAGTTAAAATCCACAAATATTTATCAAAACACCATATCCGTCAAACCCTAAGGTAAACTACTCCATAATTATGGAGAAAGTCATCACAAATATAATTAAAAAAATGAGAAAACATCAATCTAACGCTACAATCATAACTCCCATATTGAATTGATGAAGAAATGTTGAAATCTCGAATCTTGTAGCTTCCAATGCTCTCCCAAAGCTTCCAAGGTCAAAAGTCCTCTAAAAATCGTGTTTTTAGTGTATTTATACCATGTAGGAATAGGCAGGGATGAAACTACCCTTTCCAAGTCGAAATGGGACACTTGGATCGCAAAAATATACTAGCACGGCGCCCCATGCACCACATTAGTGAGGATCTTCAGAGAGTTGATTTTTTTACTTTGCGGAAAATTTGGTCTAGCGTTATGAGCCCCACGGCGCGGTAGTGTAATTTTCTCAGAATAATTTTTTTCCTCACTTTTTGACATCCAGACTTGATCCTCGACCCCATAACGTGATCCCGACTTAATTTCTTGGGCTTTTACTCAGACTTCAAAGAACCACATTGTTCGATTTAGTTCCAAATTATCTTTTTAACTCGGAATCACTTCCTGCAAGGCATAAAACATACAATAAATGTAATACACTAACATTTAAGCTCAAACACAAGTAAAATGCAGTAATTGGAGAGAAAATTATGACAAAAATACGGGTTTCTAGCCTACCATCAACACCCCACACTTAAACACACGTCCTCGAGCAATCTAACTGCACTTCACATAGAGACGACCTTTTTATCAGATGCCAAAAATATTTAAAGTAGACTAAGAACCATATCACAACATCCTAACCTCAAGACTCGACTCAAGAGCACTATGTATTTTTCACAACTTGCTCACTTACTCCAATATAGAGGTCAAAGATTTCATCTCACCTTCGCAAATCATGTGCCCTCACACTAGAGATAGAGAGTAGTTTCACACATAATAAAATTCAAGAATATATAGGACGTAAAGATAGAAACAATTCACTCACTCTCATAATTAAAATTTATGTGCCACAGAAGACATATCATAGGCTTGGCCGCAGTGTAATACTCTACTAATTAAGCTCATTCAGTCAAGGATCAAATAGGACTTAATTTGGTTGAAATGTAGGTTGCGAGACAGGTAGGAAAGATTTGGATATAGTGACTACACCTCCCTAAGCACTTCAATACATATACATTAAAAATTCACATCCCACACTTGTTTTTGAACCAAACTCCAACCTTAACAACATATTAACACCAAACTCCCAATTTCTTTAAGCACAGATAAAACAAGATTTACAACTAGTAAGGAATAAATTTTTTTTATAATATATACAAACGCTAAATTTTTTAGCTTTTTCTAGATTCCGATTTTCTCTTCTTTTTTTTCCAATTCCCTGCAAGTGGCTCTCACAATTTTTTTTCAAACAGCGCACTTTTCTCCTTTTCTATAGTTCCACTCAAAAACTCAACCACACCTCCATTTAGCTTTTAACGTGCTCATAACAAATTCAAGTGCTCATGAGAGGTAAAAGGTTCAAAAAGATAGACAATTCAAACAAAGGGGCCAAGCTTGTAGCGTGGTTTCCCAAAAAAAAAATTACAGGCTCAAACATGCTAACTAAGATACCCATTAATTAGGTGGGTAAAAGCATATATTTGGCTCAATAAAGAAATGTCTATATCACTTTCTAGACTGAACAAGACTGCTATTTCACTTTGCAAAACACACAGAACAAGTTCTAGACATTAACTGACATGCACAGAATAATAACAAAATCTCCCACACACATTGGCACATAACTCACTTAGGATCGGATCAATCCCAACTTTCGAGTCAAAGCAGTTAAGAAAAGTCAAAATCAAATAATTTAAGGCACTATAATACATGAGTCGAGAACTGAGCCTAGGCATCACGACTAAAGTATTCACTACTCTCAAGGCACAACAAGGTCAAGAAAAAGTCACATCCATTTAACATATAGCACAAGACTTAAGTAATCCTAATAAAAGAGAAACTAATTATACCTGGTTCAAACAAAATCCTTGGAAAAGAACTGTGGTACAAAGAAAAACCAAGAGGAATTGTTACACTACCTAAGAAAAATAAAATATTTTTTTTCGACTATGATCCCTCAAGAAGACAGTCGAGGAAATCCATCGTCGGGAAAACTCAATAATTGTTTTTAAAACAAAACAAAACAAACAAAATAAAAGCAAACACACATGTACATATTTACTATCCCCCATACCACACTTTAAATTGTGGCATGTTCCCATGACACACAAATAAAAAGCAAGAGGTAAAGAAAACTTCCCTAATTTTTTTTCATTTCTGAGAACTTGTGAACTCCACCCCTAGTTTGAATTCAGTCCTTATTTTCGCTCCTTGGGATTCTTTATGGAGCTCATCAGGTCAAAGTCCTCTAAGGATATCTGCAAGCCCCGGTCTTTCCTTTCTTTCTTGAGCGGTGGATTGTTCTTGTAGGATCATCCTCAACTTAATTAAGCATTCTTTCAGAGGATCAATTCATATTGTAACGACCCGGCTGGTCGTTTTAATAATTAATGCCTCGATCCCCTATTAACTGCTTTCCCCGTATTTGTTTTTACTATTGTGAGTTACCGGGAGAATTCGTTTTGGGTTTCGGAGTGTTTTGGGACACTTAGTTCCTCAATGAGAGCTTAAGCTTTAGAATTTGGATCGTAGTCGGAGCAGTATGAAGACGGCCTCGGAATGAAATTACGTCGATTCCGTTAGCTTCGTTGGGTGATTTCGGGCTTAGGAGCGTGTTCGGATTGTATTTTAGAGGTCTATAGCTTATTTAGGCTTGGAATGCCGAAAGTTGAATTTTTGAAGTTTCCGGTTCGATAGTGAGATATTGATATAGGGGTCGAAATGGAATTTCGAAAAGTTGAGTAGGTTTGTGGTGTAATTGGGGACGTGTGTGCAAATTTTCAGGTCATTTGGACAAGGTTTGATAGACTTTTAGATCGAAAGAGGAATTTGGAAGTTTTGGAATCCTTAGGCTTGAATCCGAGGGTGATTTGGTGTTCCGGCATTGTTTTGAGTGTTCCTA